TAAAATCTTCACTATAGCCTTATAGCGAAGTTGAGGTCTAGGACATAGAGTTCGTTATAACAAGAGTTGACTGTATGGGATATTTGTAATAAAAAGGGAGGAAACTACTAAAAAAAATTTTTTTTATTTTATAAACTAAATATTACTTTTTTAATAAAACAAGTCCAGATTTAACATTAACTTAAAAAAAATTTTTTTGGTAGTTTCCTTCCTTTTTATTGAAAAGAGCCTATATATTAAACTATATTTTTCATATAATTATTATATTACTAAAATTAATATTTAATATATTATTAAAAAAATAATACAATTTTTTAAGTTTGCAAATAAATTTGCCTGCTAAACAATCTAAGGGATAATATATATAATTAAAAAAAAATATATTAATATATATGCTTTATAATTTTATAATTTACTTCATAATGTATTTACAAATTTTAATAAATTAATTGCTTTTGCTTTATTAATTATATAAAATATATATATAGACAGTTATATAATAATATTTATATAATTATATTAATTATTTAAAAATTATATAAAGTAAAATATTATATTAGTTCTAATATTAATATAATTCTTAAAATCTTATATAAAAAATTGTCTATTAGCTTGTTACTTTTTTAAAATATATAACATAACTAAAAATAAATCTATTTTAACTTTATTTAAAATTTTCTTTTCAGTATTTTTTTACTAATACTTTTTATATTATAATATATTGTAATTATTACTTCTTTACTTACTTATTCATAATACTTTAAATATATATATTTTAGTATTAAAAAAATATTTTTAAATCTTTATAATATAACTTTTCATAAAAAATTTTATCAAATATTTTTTGTTTATTTTAGGTGATCAATCTTATATAATGAAGTTTTACCTTTTATAATTATTATTTAACGTTTATTATAATATGCCTTTTAATAATTAAGATGATATATTAATTTTCATAATATTCATCGATCACCTCATTAATCACCTATATCATTCTTTATATTTTCACTTTAATCATCTTTATTACATATAGAATAAAGTATTAAACAATTAAAAATAAAATTATTACTAAAATCTATACAGGATTTTAAAAATAGATAAGAAAATTGCTTTAGTATTAACTAATTATGTGTTTTGTTTTTCTTTGAATTATCAGTTAAAACAAAAAACAAAAATCAAAATTTATTAAATTTACTTATTTAAAGCATAAATAATATATTTATATTGTATTGAATAATTTTTATCAAAGAATTAAAGATAGATGTTTGAATTTTACAAATATATTTATTATAATTTTGATAATTATTATGGCTTATGTTTAGTTTTTTTTATATTTTTATATAAATTGAAATGAATTCTATCTGTTAAAATACTTGATAAATCAGTTAATTTGGTATATAATCCAGATATTCAGAGGTTATTATTTTATTAGATTTATTCATGTTGCTATTTTATATAATTGCAAAATAATTTAAATTAGGTAATAATTAATATAAATTAGTTCTAAAAAAAAATATTGTGTAAGCAAATATAATAATAAAACTATGCAGTTATCTTAATTTTACACTGTTCACACTTATAAAATAAGATCTAACTTTATATTTATCTTCTATAAATTCTCATTATTATATTTTTAGCTTGCATAATAAATATAATTTCTTATTAGTAATTCTATAATAATTAAAATTTTAATTATTAAATTCTTTATATAAATTAAAATATTAATTTAATATATATTGTAAAAAATAAGATTAAAAAATAAGTACAGTTAATATATTTATCTTAATTAAAATTAAAGGATTTGCTTATATTGATGAAACCTTTTTAGATAAGCATTTATTCTGAATTTTTTTAGATTTGTAATCTCTTTGATCTTAGTTTTTTGATATAAATATTCTTAATTTATTATTCTTTAAGCTCTACATTTTTATGATTACTAATAATATAGCTATACTAATTATTAACGATTGTATTAATTGTTTTTATAGCTGATTTAAGATTTAATATTATTTTCTAAAGTATAGTAAAGAACTTTATATTTTTAAGCATTTTAAATGCAATATCATTTTATACTATAGCTTAATTGATAAATGAAATTGTGAATTTATTTATTACCAATTTTGTGTTATGTAAATATATTAGCTATGTTATTGAATTAACCCAAAATTATGCTTTAGATCAGAACGGTTTCCATTCTTTAGTATTAATTAATGTAAACATTGTATTTAAAATAATAAGTTGTTTAAATCTTAAATCTGAGATTATATATATAGTTTAACTAATTATATTATTACTAAAAATCATATTTTAAGAATTTTTTAACTAAAATTTATTTGCATTTTAATCTAATAATATCAATAATTAAAAATGCAATAAAATATCTTAATTTATTATTAATAAAGAAATTTATTTTTAGATAGTTTTGAATTTGATTATTTTATTACACTATTTATTATTTTAAAAGTAATTCTTTTTATCCTACGTGTATAAAAATCATCGTAATTAAAAAATGTCATTTCCTCTTCGTGAACTTGGCAGAACTGGTGTCAAAATACCCACGATTGGTTTGTGAAGTATGGTTTGTTCACAATAAATTATACTAATGTAATCATACTTAGTCAACGGTGATAATTGTAATAATTTCATTAAAAAAAGTGCATGAGTAATTTTTATGGTGCAGGTGATGATGGATCCTAACACGTAGTATAAATTCGGTTCTTTTTTATTATTATCCTTTAAGAATTACAATTCTTTCTTTGATTATAGACCTATCGAGGATACTGTCGGCTTTAGCAGAACTTGTTAAAGAAAGAAAAATTAAGTATATTGATCTTTCCGAATGCTCTGTCGAAACTCTTCGACGCGCCATAAAGTTCATCCAATTGCCGCAGTTCAAGTAATGATTATGTTTTTAAAATAAATAATGATCTTTTTTTAACAATTATTGTTCTTTCTTTTATGAAGGTTGAAGATATAGCCTTGGACTCTCGATATTGAAAAAAAATGGGATTATGGAAACTTGTCGTGAATTAGGTATCACTATAGTAGCATATAGTCCACTTGGACGCGGGTTTCTAACAGTTTTTATCATCTTGATCTTGACTTTTTTTTAAAAAAAAAAACCCCCTTACCTATTAATAATTAATCTCAAATATTTTAGGGGAGATATAAATCTTTTGATGATTTAGAACCGGGTGACATTAGAAGAACTCATCCTCGATTTCAACCTGAAAATTTTGCTAAAAACCTAGAACTTGTACATAAATTCATGAATTTGCTAAAAAGAAAATGTTACTTCAAGTCAACTTTGTTTTTCTTGGGTTCTAGCCCAGTAAATATTTTTAACATTCTAACAAATTTTTTTTTTTTGCAGCCATGATGTTGTTATCCCCGGTACAAAGAAAGTTAAATATTTAGAAGAAAATCTTGGGGCAAATTATTAAATTATCGGTACTAGATATACAGCTAAATCTATGCAGGTATGAATTATTTTATCATATATGTTGTGTTTCTTTGAATTTTAAAAACACCAATTAATCTTTTGCAATTTTCTCGGTATTTGCAAAATACAGACGTTGGATTACTATTTTATTAATAAATGTGAATGAAATATGAGTTATCAGTTCTCTAGAATGTTATATTATTGAAAAATTATATCATATTATTTCCACACGAAACAAGAAAATTATTTAAATAAAGTTATAATCTAATTGATGCTTATAAAAGGTTAATTAATAAAACACTTTCCATTCAATAATATCTTCTCTATTATTACTACTTACGGTCAGTCCTCATCGCTTGCCATTAATTCAGCTAATATACGTTCCTCTTCTTCGGTTAACTTTGAAGATATGGTTTCTTTTTTAGATGGAACAGATTTTTTAGCTTCAGTTTTATCAACGGATTTTTTCAAATCTTTTGCTTTAAAATTTAATGTAAAAGTTAAAATATGAAATTATGTTTAAATGTGAATTAAATATTTCTTTTACAAATACCCGCTATAGACCATTTTCTTAGAGTACAATCCAAAGAACCTGTATATAATGTAGTTCCTCTAACGGCCATACAAGACACTTCATCAAAATGACCTTCGAACTCATTGATCATTTTCCCACTCTGAATAAATGAAGAGTTTTATGAGAAAAAAAAAATTTAGTTAAAAATAATGGAATTTTTTTTTATACAAACCCCAATCTCAAAAATTCTAATCATCTCATCACGTGATCCGGTGATCAAATATGGCCCAGCCACCACGAGACATTTTACAACATCTGGATGTGTAAAGGTCGTATCTGGTTTACCATTCTAATCAAAATTGCGTATGCCCAACGAATATTAGGTATAAAAAGTGACGCCGCAATAACAAATCAAACTCTTGTTCGTGATAGTGAATCAAAATATAATTACTTCCAAGTCCCATCTTTTCACAGTTTTATCAGCAGACGCTGTGATACATCATCATGTTAGTGTCAAAGTAAATAAATACTTCATCACAGCAAAAGTCAGCAACATTTACCCGTCCACATTTCGTCATCAAAGATTTTCAATGAGTAAACACTCGTCAAGTGTCCTTCAAATACTTGTAAACATTCTCCTGTACTTGCATTCCATTTTCTAATATGCCGATCCGATGATGCAGAAAACAAAAATGTTTCGGTTTCATCGAAGGCAAGGTCTTCAATACCACGAGAATGTCCTTTAAACACTTGTAATTTTTCACCAGTTACAAGATTCCACGAACTAATATATCTGTCTGAAGATCCTGAACAAAGGATCGAAGAAGAATGAGAGATGGCTAATGATTTCACAAAATCAGTATGTGCAGTGAAAGTATGAATGGACTCTTTAGTCTAAATCGGATACATACAATTGATCATGAAAGATAAATTAGTAAAAGGCCTTTCACGAAAAACATGTATCCTTTTAATTTACCTTTGTATCCCATTTGACGATAGTTTTATCCCAAGATCCAGTTATAAGATACTCTTCTCCATCTTTATACCATAAGCCAATGCAAGTGACTGGTCCAGTATGTCCTTTAAAAATTTTTGAAGTCTTTCCAGTCTAAAAGAAAAGCATGTTAATATTTATTGTATATAAATAATTCGACGGGTTGAAGAAAAAAAAAAAAAAACTTTTACATACCGACAAGTTTATCTTTTTCGCGACAAACCCCGATTCTCCAATATATGCATATTCAGATTCTGTTTTTTCGGGTAAAAGTAAGCATAAGACTTTAGAAGTACATTCAATTGGATCACCAGCTTTATTTTCTCTTTTCTCAGCTCGACGTGCTTGAGTTGCCAAGTCACTATCAGACTGAAAAAAATTATCGGCACCAGATCCTATTCGCGGTCCAACCGGTACTTCATCGAACATCATTTTAATAAGCGGTTTTAAGTTTGAAATGCGTGACGATAATTTATTGACGGTGTGGTAACACAAAATATTAAACCTAATTATAAGTATAGAAATTAAAATCATCACTTACAGTTTCGTTTTATCTAATGATAGTTTTTTCTCACCTTTTTAATCATGCGATTCTTCTTTTATATCAAAAGAGGCTTGCTTTTTGGCCTAAAAAAACTTTTAAATGATTAATTGTTTGAATTATTAGGACGCATCTATTTTTGGATTTCATTATGGGTTAGTGTGATTAAGGGATTGTGATATTATTATTAATCCGGGAACGAAGGTTTTTGTTACACGATTCTCCGTTGTCCCTGCTGATTGGCTCTTGCAATTGCACAAAAGTCTAGATAAAGTTCCAGACTAGTAAGATATCTTCAATTATATCCCAGAATTAGTAAAGTCACATTCTAAAATTAAATAATAATTGATGTGGCTAGGTAAACAAACATGTAAGTAATCAGGTACCAAAAATTGGCTAATAAGTTTACCTTCCATCAAAGCATTAATAAACCAGTTCAATAAAAAGAGTAATTTAGGATTGGTTTTTCGTACGTGTAACCTGGTTTCGTTATAAATTTTTTTACATAACTGATGACCTAAACAAGTTGATATTCTGAAATAAAAATAAACAAGAAAGTAAAAAAGGTGTTAACCAATTAAAATTCTAATCTCAAAACGGCACTTGTAACAATGTATAGCGTCGGTTTATTTTTTTTTTTTTTTTTCATATTACCAAAAAAAAACATGTCGAAATCTTTCGATGAAAAGATTGTTGGGAAAAATCACTCATTCTCACCAAAAAGGGATTATTTGTTTATCTCTTGATTGGCGTTAATTTTTCGCCCAGGCACATTTAATCAAAAAAAAAAAAAAGTCCCTTAGAATTGTTTAAAGTTAAAGTTGTTGATTTTTGACATTTTTAAAAATATTTGAGGCTTAATGATGCATATTTAGTGATTCCGAGATAATTTCAATTATCAAATGGATCTGTAATGTTCAAGACGTATTTGTATTTTTATTTTTATTTTCTCAGAAAGAACAAAACAATAAGAAAGATTGTAATTCGCTGCTAAATGTTTAAAAAACAAAAATGTGAGGTGTCTATAAACAGGTTCATTTTATTATTGTAAAGTATGCATTACATAAACTTACATCATCAACCTCGATGGATGTCACCAATCGTGATAAATTAGTGGGAAGGTGTGGAAATCAAAAATTTTTTTATTAACGCCTCAAAAAAGGTTTTTAAACTTAAATTCGAGTCACATTGGTAGGGATTTTGCAGTATTTAAACGAGAAGAACCACCGAAGGATACTGAGTCGTCCCCGAGTCATTCTAAACCATCGTAGTCATGGATTTGGAATTCCGCAGCATATGTTTACTTACCTTTTTCAAACGGTCATGATATTCCTTGGATAATAAAAATTTGATAATCCTTATTGTTCTCCTCCAGTTTACTATAAGAATCCATTCTCCTGGGTATGGTTTCCATAAATGATCGCTTAACAATAGGAGGCGCGTTCAATCATATTGTTGAAAGATCTTCTTGTTCGCTAGATCACGTGCGAGTTCTATTTAATTCCTTTTAAAGTATTCAAGAACTACAAAAAGTGATTCTAAAAATAACTTTATAAAAACATTCAACAAATACAAGGGATTTTTTTTTTTTATGAATTTCGCGTCAAATAAAGATTGTGTAAGGATTTCTTTTTGTTCTTATTATAGCGGAGAAATGAAGTCTTCCTTATAATAGAGATTCACTGCGGCTGGATAGAATTACTTCATCACCCACTCCCATCTTCGATTATAATAATTTATTACCTGATATTCCTAAATAATCACCAATCCTTTTTTTAAGAAAAAATTAGATTTCGTGTAGATAATATTTTAAATTCCCAGCATAACTATTTCCTTTGGAAAGACTTTGAAATATGCAAAGGGAGCTGTCATGAATATGCATAAGATGAAAGCTCTTTCATAACCTTCAAAACTTACACAAGTAACTCGCTCATTAAAGAATTTCCACGTCCCACTTTACCAGAATTTCTTTATTTAGCGAAAGTAACCAAATTAAGGTTTGCTGTTTATTTAAAAAAAGAAAAAAAATTTTAGGTTCAAAATGATATGGATACCCCCCAGTTATTGTTCTTCAGTAGTTTGGCTTCGTATTACCCAATTGTGACGGAAAATAATTGATCATCAAATGACGATATTCGTATGGGATACAAAAAGGATTCAAGGGATATGTTAGAGAATAAACAGGTTTTTTTTTTTGTTTTACGTTAAAGTTTACCAATCAAGAATCAAGTTTCATTATTAAAATGTCCATTCTTTCTCGATTTGAATGTATTTTGTATTAGAATTTCCCTCAACACTAATTATTTTTTTATTGATCAAGATTTAATGGGATTCAAAGACTTTTTTGTTGAGAGGGAGGAAAAATGTTACGAGAATAAATACAAATCTAGAAAAAGTTTGATGAAATACGATGTTACATTGATTTTCCTTAAAGTAACATACTTTAAGTTAACTCTCCCTACAAAGGGATCTTACTAAAAAGTTCGGGATTTTATTTATGCCCCATTCATAGAATATGAATAATTACAAATTGATATTACGGAGATTTCGGTGATTAGATTTTTTTATTAAAATAATTTTGTTTTCTATATTAAGTTATATCAAAAAGTGACAATTTTTTTTTTTTCCTCTGAAAAACTTGAATTTAAATTAAAATAAACATGTTTTCAGGAATCAAAACCTGGTATTTTTTTAAAGAAAATAACTGGATTAATAATAATCTTTTTTTTTAAAAAAAGATTTGCCATCTTCTGATTTATGACAGGTCAAAAAACGCCCAAAAACAACTTGTTTTTTTTTTTTTTCTTTCATTCAAAATTGGGTAAATGTCATGCGACTTTAATTTTATACAAGAAATAAAACTCGTATTTTTTATTTTTAATTTTTTTTTTTTATATATATAATAATAATTTTCAGAAGATAATCATTTTATAATCATATCTATAATTTGATTTTTTAAGGAAAAAAGTTTTACATAGAAAGGATCGGAAGTACGTTATTATATCATTCCGATGCGTATCCAGATTCTTGGTTTGAATTATTCTTTAAATAGTACAAAATCATTCATTATGACGACTTAAACCATTTTGGCTTGCTTCAATATATAGACATACATATTCCTAATTTATTTACAGTTTATATGAAACATGATGAAACAACTTATATAAATTCGGAATATGTGCATTTTTTCACCTTTCGGTTCACACCAAATTGGTATTAGCCACTGCAAATGAAGATCCATATGGGATAACGAAGTCGAATCCAAAGCACAGTATTTAAATGGGATCTTTCTATAAAGAAAATGCATAATTGGCATCGTAAGGCAGTTTAATAGAATATCTTTGGGTTAGATTTACGAGGATGAAAGAAAACTTAAATAAAATCGAATATGCCAAGAAAATATCAAATGCTATAATTATTACTTCATTATGTTGATACTTTATGTGGCTGGTTAACCTTATTTTTAGTAAAGAATCATCATCGTAAAATGATAATGATCCAAATCCTTTATCATTTCAAAATAACGACGTGGAAAAAGAATTCTTTGAAGGATCGTTTCAAAAATCGAAACTTCCTTTTCGAAACTTCCTTTTGGTACACAGTCATTACCCGCAGCCCCCACGCACGGGAAATAAGGCGCAGTAACACGTGATATTCTCTGAGTACTCGCTGAGTCCCCGATTTTTTTGCGCAGCAAACAAAAAAATTCATGAGTTATAGTGACATCATGCATATCAAATCAAGTTTTCAAACAGGTTTAAATCGAAACAAATTTTGTAAAAAAAAATTGTTAGGAGTGTTTTAAAAAGGAAATCGGAATAGATTTACATGTGTGAAGTCCTTTTTCTACCAGAAACTTACACGAGGGGAGTATTGTCTTCTGAAATCTTGTTCCCTTAATGTAATGGTACATGAAATCATTGTGGAGTTGAGTGTGGAGAATTGATTTTTTCATTTAATTCATTGTTAAAATTGGACTTTTGAGGTTTTGAAACCGTTATATAACGTTAAATCATATTGTCTATCCATTTATATATTTTTTCGTAAACGGATTTGTAAGAAAGAAATTTAAAAATAAAAAGAAAATTTTTTTGATAAATATAGAATTGTAATGTTATGATTGTTAATAATTCCAGTTTCTTTGATGGTCTTTTTTTTTTTTTGTTGTTAAATTTATCAATGAATAATAACTTGGATAATATTTTGTTGCATTTGTTATTACCTTAATTTGTTAAATTATTTCAGGTGATTTACTAAATTAACTAACTTCGGAGAGTTAAAATTTTCTCTTTAAAGATTAATTAAAAAAAAACTGTACCCTTTTTCTTCATGTATTCAATGCTCCTTTCTTATCTTTTTTTTCAAAGACGAATTATAAGTAATAATTGTCAAAAAAAAAAAAAAAAATTACCCCTTGGTAACGTAACATTTCTAATGTAAAACGTCTTTTTGGCTAAGAATCGTCACTTTTAATTGGATTCTAAAATAAAAGGTCTTTCCCTTTTTTTTTAAAAAAAATCCCAACTGACAAATGCAATTCGTAGCTGATGGTATTCCGATTATTTGTTCAAATAAATTTAATACTTGGTGCCCGCCTTTTAAATCGGCTTAAGCCGAAATAACGTCTCCTTATCTAATGCATAAGGAAAAATAAAATATGAATTGACAGGTGCTTCGCATAACAATATAAACTAGTTGGCGTAAACAATTAATATATCAAAGGTTGATAAAAATAATCTAGAGGGCATTTTGTTTTCTCTTGCATTATCTAACGTGTTGACCTCTCGAAATCATTGGAGTTGTATTGGTCGTATAAAATTAGCTATTTTTTTTACAAATAAATAGTGTTATTTGTGGGTTATCAAAAAAATAATAATATTTTTCAGGGGATGTCGTTATACATTGAAATCGGTAATAGCATTTTTGCATCTTTGTTTGTTTGTTACGTTTTCAGCTCAAATTTACTTTTTATGGAATTTATCCTAATTTAATGCAGGTATCATAACAGATTTTTAGTAATAAAAAAAAAATTGATCACAGGTAAAGTATCACAGGTATCACAGGTATCACATAACGTTAGCTCCCATTTTTATGAGGCATTTTGGCACTTTGAAACTCTACTTTTCACCGGATCCACTTTGAGTTACTTTTTTTAGACATCGTTAAAGGTTTCCCCGTTTTTTTTTTCATTCTCAAAGAAATCCCCAATCTTGCATGTTCAATTACCTAAACTACCCCAATTACTGTTTTCTTAATAATAAAAAAAAGTCACACCACATTCTTAAACATACTAATAATATCGTTCAAAGATTCTCCCACCAAAAAAAAAAAAAAAAAATTGAAAGAATCAATACATTTGACCCAATAAATGTCAATAGGTAATATATATAAGTGTTAATATTGGATAAATGCTAAGCGTGCATAACATACATAACATACATAAGATAAATGCATAATCGCACTAGTTGTAATGCTTTTTAAAAACAAATAGAGAATCTGATATTACGTATCACGTTTTAGTTACCCAAGTTGCTATTTATAAATGTCTAATGTTTCTAAAGTTATTTTTATATTATGGTTACCGGTAACCTTTAGTTTTAATGTTTCGAAACATTAGTTGAACAATGGCTTAACTACATAAAGATTAAAAAGTTTCAAATTTTTTATTTTTAAAAAGAATTATTATATGTACACAAATTTTGATGTTCTTGGAATAAATTTATTTAAATTTTTTTCTTTAACAAAAAAAAAAAAAAAAAAAAAAAAAAAAAAAAAAGATACATGATTTGATTAACGCACCGAATCTACAGATTAACTAGATTAACTGTATTCTTTGTTTTATTTTATTTTTTTATTTTTATATATATAAATATATATATAGTTTTTTTTTTTTTGGATTGGATTGCACAAAATTCAGAAGGTCGTGGGCACAAACAAAGAAATTAGCCGGATCCAATATCTACTTATTGAGACGGAATTACGTTTTCATCCGTAATTTTAAATACTTTTAATCCAATTCAATTCCTATTACCTTGCTGCGGACGAGCGAACTCGGTTCATTGGAGGGGTGGGATGTCGTAAGACATACATGTGTTTAACGGATTTTTAATATCAGTATAATTGGAGAACAAAAAAAAAAGTGACACAATAGTTGCAAGTAATAAAATTCGTAATATACGAACGGGGAGCCGTAAAAAAAAAAAACTGTTATCTTCTATGAGCATCTCGATAGTTCTCTATATATTCCTATTATCAATTCGGTTACATTCGTACCACATTATCGACGACTTTGACATCAAAAAAAATAAATTAGAAAGGGGGATGGGTTTTTCTTATTTGGGAATGGAACTTTTTTTCATCGGTCAAAAAAGAGATATATTAGCATGCAATTTTTTTGTAACGAAGTACACAATGGTGGTCAGCACGCCCCACATGCCCTCTTTCCTACCGACCAAGAACTGATACAAAATATTTAACAGAAATGCACGAATGAATGAAGTTTTTTCCGAGATGAAAAACAGTGCACAGCATTATTATTATTGTTGTTCTTAATTTTTTTCCAAAGCAATCTTTTCGGATTTGTTTAATTTGTAAAAAAATCCGACGTGAAATTAAAAATTTGATGCCATGATGCTCTCTAACCATTCGAAGGTAGTCTGAATTGATTTTTTTTTGATTTTAATTTACAAAAACCATTTTTTGTTCAAATTTATTATGGGGTTTAATAAATTTGTAAATGAATTCTCATCATTTTCCTCAATGAAGGATCATCATCATTTACATCCATATGGAAGATTTGCAACAACCTTAACCGATAAAAAGAATCTCGTGAATTTCAGGTAGATTGTTAATTAAATATTTTCATTTTATTAAGAGTATTTAAGAGCACATTGCAAATGATCCGTGCAAAATGCTGAGCCCCATAAAACAATAATATCCGTGACAATTGATTAATGATTTGTTCGGATGACAACATCTTTCTTTGATATTTTTTTTTATAAACAGATTGTGTAAATGAATAACAAAAAAATTTTCACATTTTTTATCACGAATGAAAAGCTTAATGCAGAGTTAAATTAATAAGTTCTCTTAAAGGTAATCTGTGACACCCAAACCACTTGGATTTCTCGAACAAGTGGTTATTGATTGACCGCGTGGATTGGTGTTATAATAATAAAAAGATTTATGTAAAACAATATTGTACCCTCCCATTGGACAGATTGTCTGATTTTTTAAATTATATATTAAATTATTATTATTATATACTTTTATATATGATACCCTACCTTTGGTTACATCAAATCATTTTCTTTTTTTTTTATAAATAACTTTTCATGCTACCAAAATTAGCGCTAATATATTTTAATAAACTAAAGTGAGAAATAAGAATCCTTTTTTGTAAATCCTTTTTTTTTTATTTTATTAATGTTACTTCAAAATAAAAATCATTTTTTTTTTTTATTATGTTGATTTAAAAAAATATATAATAGTATAAATTATATTACTTATTATTTGATTTACTTTATGTAGAAGATGAATTGGATTACTCGAAAGGAACAAATAAGCTTCATAATTAATTATTTTTTTTTTTATATAGCGATCCGCGTTTAGTTTAATGATAAAAAATTTTTTATAAAAGGAGCCTTTATGCTTCAGCATCCCAAATCTTTCCTCACCAACAAAGAGGTGTTTTTCTCTTTTGTTCAAAATAAAATCTATTTCCACCCTTTAGGAATTTTTTTTTCTTTTTACTCTTTCATCGAGTGAACGAGACTAGCTTTTTTTTTTAAAACAAAAAAAAAAAATCAACAAAAAACTTACTTGACAATAAAAAATTTGTTTCTCAAACCAAATCTACTTGTTTTCTTATATAAAGAAATACTCTGCTTTTTCGCTGACGATTTTTTCAAAAAAAAAAATTTACAAAACATACATAATAACAACAATGAAAATGAAGAATAACATGTTCTCTCGCAACCGTAAAATTCACAACCCATTCAAAAGAAGAAATTCCTCAAGTAAATCGCATGCCCACCCCGTTTACCATCAAAATGTTATCAGCGCATTAGGAGGAATCCCTCATGATTACGATTTTGAATATAGCTCAACGACAGAAACACCAACGGTATATTCTTCAAGGCGAAGCTCAATTTACTGCGACTCTTCATACCAAAGTTCGAGATTAGGTTCCACCCATATGTATTCGCTCTACCAGGAGCCTCAGCACGATTTTCTCGCTGCCGCAACGCACACTCATCATCATCATAACGACAAATGCTGTCATGATGCCAATTGCAAGCAATACAAACAAACAAAAAGGAATAGCTCCGATTCTTACAATCCAAGGCGAAGTTTTACTGGATTTAAACTTTGGTTACGATTGACTTGGGTAAAGGTTGGAAGAACCTTTCGTTAAGGCTTGATTCCTTTATCGAGAATAATTATTTTCTCTGGACATTTATTTTCATTATGCCGAGTAAAATATATTATGATTATTATTATTATTATTATTATTTTCATTGTAAACATAATTATTATTCAGTACATAGTTAAAACTAATCAGCGGGCTTTGGTTGCATATATATTACATATTGGGCAATACACTTTTTTATCATCATAGACTTTTGAAAAAACGAGATATTATCGAGAAAGAAAACTATACAACGCATTTTTTTTTTATAATTCTTAATTTTTGTAAATACCCTTTTTATTTCTCCCCTTCCCTTCTTGTGTGGTTGTACTTTGGTGGTTAGAAAAACCACAGGATTGGATAATAATAACGCCTTCGTGCTTTCACACTTTTATTCTTTAAACTACCCTTTTATTTCCCCAAACTTCTTTTTCCCCATCTTTTATTTCTTTAATCTCTAATTTTAATCTTTTCTTTTTTAATTCTTTTTTTTAATTTCTTAATTTTATTTTTTTATCGTTATTTTTCTACCCTTTTCTTAATGACTAATCCTTAATTTATAATTTATCAACCTCAAACATTCTTGATAGTCATTTTTCTTAATTCAACCTTATCCATTCTTTTTTTTTTCTTTCTCTATCGCATAGTTTCTTTCTTTCATTTAAAGACTGAATCAAATTTATTTTTTACGTACTTTCGAGGAAATCACAAACACAAACACAAACACAAACTTAACGATTTAATTTTTTACGATTTATTTTTGCAACGTTTTATTTTTTTTTTTAATTTATTTTCTTTCTCCTTCGTTTTTTTTTAATTAGATTGTATATAAGTTGAAATAGACGTCATTCACAATTTTTTCCTTTGGTGAAATACTTGGATGTTTCTTTATTTAAAGAGCCTCAGCCTTTTTATTCTAAAGCATATGTTTTTGTATTTTTTCAACGGAAAAAAAACTTAAATACACTTTTTCGCATTTTTTTTTTTTTTTTTTTTGAATCTACTAGACATTTTCTTTTTCCCCCCATTTTTTTTTTTTTTAAAAAATCATTTTTCGTTTTAAAAAAAAAACAATATAGAAATCACAAACATAACAATATAGATTCTAACGAATTTTAAAGCTGCGCTTCTATTATTCACAACATAGACATTATCAAATCATTTACACTTTTTTTTTGTATATAAGTTTAAAATAGAAAAAAAAAACATCACGAACATCTATAGATTTTTTTATATAGCATTTTTTCATGTCATCTATTCATCATCACTTTCACACATTAAGCAATCACAAAAAACCATTAAGCAAATAAAAAATGAAAAAAAAAAAAAATAAAATAATCCATTATTTTTTTATTTTTTTTTTTTTTAAAAACCGCACACATTCTTTGCATCCTTTAAAAATTTTATGTTTTTTTGTAAATAAATAAATAACATTCGAAACAAATTTTTGCATTAAAAAAAAAAAAATTTTTTTCGCTTGCCATGTAAGATGAAATTTGTAATGTTCAAAGAAACAATTTTTATTGTCCTGATCGTAAACATCACACGGCCGCGTAAACAATGTTATAAAAAAAAATTAACGCGTTTCATTTTTATGCCACAACTAGATATTACAACATCATCAATGGGTAAATATTTACTGCACATGACCTAGTTCAATGTCATCTATAACTAATAGAATATTCCTGTATAGCAATTATGGGAGGTAAATAGTATGGAAAAATATTAAAAATAAATAAATTAGAATTACAAATAACACTCTCTTTTTTTCGCCAAAAAGAAAAAATACATCTTGTTTTTTTTAATTTAACCTATCTATCACATTCTTTCTAAGCCTCCGTATTGGCGTACATATGATAGCGAAGGGGGGAATGATTGGGTCATTTATTATTTATTTATTCTGGAATTTACCGTAAAAAAAAATTTTCAATAAATTCATTTAAATTAATTTAAGGAAAGCGGAACCAATAATGTGCATCAATAAAACGTAATTATTCTTGTACATTTTTGTTCTTTATTTAAAAGTTTTTTTTTTCTTTAAAACAAACTCTTTGGTCCTTTTTGCGGGAAAGTCCGATTTGAAATAATAAGAATGGAAAAATAAAACAAGTTGACTTGCTTGCTTTTGGTTTTGTCTTTATGTCATTATTATTTTCATCTTTTAATTCTGTTGATTATTAGTAATTACTGCGTCAAAAAATTCTAACTGGAAAATCGCACTAATTCCATCAAAAAATAAAAAAACTTGTTGACATTCTCGTTGTCAATTCTATAAAAAAATTAGTTTATCGGACCTCAATCAAATTACATCAACGGTAGAGAAAAATTAATCCTAGCGGGATTTTCGAGTCGCATCGAAGATTTCCTTGTCATGTTACATTCATGAGATATCTGGAATCATGAAAGAGAAAAATTGATTGCCGCAGTTGAACGCATGAGGAAATCCAAATTCCGCTGCTCTGCACCCGTAATTTGATAGTGATTTCCTAATTTAGAACTATCATTCGGTAATTTTTGTCTCTTTGTTTTTTCCCACACGAGTAAAAAGAATGATTTTACTATAAATGAGGAAAGTAATTAGTAATCATCATACAAAATCATAAACATGTAATAGTAATCACTTTCCAGTTAAAAGATTTTCTTTTTTTGTGGAAAAATATGAATCTTTATGATTTAATTTGATTTTAACAATGACGATGGATAAAAAAAAAAAATCTTCAAATAATCATCAGCCTCCTTTACGTAATTTTCCTGAGCATTTCAAAAATGCTCGAGATAAAAAAAGAAATCGTGAAACCAAACAACACCCCCAAGACTTCATTTTATCATCAATCATGCCGTATTTTAACCGTTTAGAAATTTTTTTTGATTTTTCCATGTTTAAAAGGTATTTTTAATCATTGTAATTATTAAGCAAATCATTGTTTTTTTATTCATTGTATTAATAATAAAAAATATTTTTGAATCTCCGTCTCCCTTATTTTTTTAATTAGGAAAAAAAAAAAAAAAAAAAAAAAAAAGAGATCATCGGCTATTTTTACATTTTATAATAAATTTCCTTTTTTTACGACCCATTAGATTTTTTTTTCCTTTCGTACTTTTTCTTTTTTTTCAGACAATGATTTAGACAATGAGAATAATAAATATTATATGTTAACGAAAAAATAATGCGTCTTCAAACAAGAAATAATCACGTTCGTTTTTCTTCAATTGCTTGCTTGCTTTTGCATTTCGCATTCCGACACCGTGTTTTTTTTTTTTAGTTGGGGCTTGAGCTTCTTAAATTGGAAATCAATTCGGTTTTAAAAAAAAAGGACTCTGGATATCATTAAATGGGGAACGTAAAATGCGCCACGGCTATTGAAAAATGCGTTCCACATTCGGAAGCTTATTCCAATCCTTGTGATTCCCTTTTACGGAATGATGATTTTTGTGGCTTATTCGTAAAATTGAACACATGTCGTCATTCTGATCACGCATTTGGATGGGATTCGTTTCGGAATGATGAGTCCATAAATAGCTCGTTTACTGCGCCGACAAATCCGCGCCCAGTGCTTGTCTCAGCGATAACTCAGTAACCAGAGAAGGTTCCATGTCATTGCCTATTTCGGGTAAGACCTCGCTGAGAGTTAAAAAAAAGGTTTTTTCTCATCCCACCGTTGCATGGGAAAAACGTTTGCTTTTGCATCCACCCATTTTGGCTCTCGAAAGCTACGTATTTCAAAAATTCTGGGAATTTAATTCACGAAATGGTCAAGTTGGCGCATTAATCATGCCTTCTGATTTAGAATGCATAATCTGGAATGAATTACAAAAAGAAACCTTCTCATCATCAAAAAAAAAATTTATTGATAAGAAACTCGCTTCAATACTCGCTTTTTTTTCGTTAAGTATTAATTAAATACGGCTAAGGATATCCGATATAATTGCAATTTTTTAATTCTTGAATTTTTTTTTATTTTAATTCCTCTTTTTAATCGTTCTGACCTTTCCTCCAAGAACTAGTATAACCATATTGGTGAACCCTTTCAAATATGGATTCATTCAAATTAATCAATCTCTTTTGATAAAGGATTACGTAAATCATTAATTGGCCATCCCTGAATGAACTATGAGTATCATGATTAAGCTCGCAGTTCTTTCCTTGTATGAATTTAAAGCCGCATGCCTCTCTATCCTGTTTCTGCTTTATTAATACTTTAAGCTTTCTTTAAACGAACCTTGCGCGAATGTTCAAAAATGGTTTCATTCGTAATATCGGAGGAACCAATTAAACCTCCTCCCCGACTCGTTAATGATGTCTCATTCATTGTTTTCAGAGTGAAAAAATTAATATTATAATATTGTTCCATCATGAAAAGGTGATGCGAATTACAAAATAAGCTCAAATTGAGAAATAATTGACAATGTTAATTATCTCACAAGGACGTTTCGTCCTTTGATTTAAATCTGAAAACACCATGAAACTTTCTCAAACAAGAAACCGGTTTTGTGTGCCCTTATTATTCTTGTCAATGAATATCTTGATGATCAGGTAACACCACCTTAAGACAATGATTTTGGTGGCCCCCCTTGTCATTTGACACAAATCTTTTTTTTTTTTCTTTCCCTCTTGTAATAGGAAAGTTTAATTGAATTCAAGATCATGAACAGGAATTTAATAAGGTTTTATCTAAAATAAGCAATTCATAATTAAATAATTTTTTTTTTAAGGAATACCTCATCCCTTTGATTATTAAGATATTACGTATCAAATCCTGTTTGAAATCAACTTTCTTTTTAAATTTCATTCTCAGACACTTGTGTAATAATGAGATAATTAAAATTTACTCAACTTTAAATCCTGATTTAACAAGTCTCATGGATCACGATGGGTTTGACATTGTGCGCTTTGACCGGAAAACATGATTCTTTTGATGACTTTTTTTAGTGGAAAATCGCTCGATTAAGATTTCTGTTTGTGGTCATTGCATATATTAAACGTGAATTTTTGGCGGTTAGTACAT